GGGACCCGGAGGACTGAGCCCGGCCCGCGGCCCCGGCCCCTGCCCAGGAAGGTCTCGCAGCTCTGAGTCCCTTTTCCGTGTCCCCTGCGATGATCCGCTGCGTTTACAGGAGGAGAAGTATGACGAGGAGATGGTAGTGTAGGCACTTTACTCAGACTTGTTCCAGGAGGCATCGGCGCTCGTTGATGTCCGGTTGCACAATACTCACCGTCACTGACCCCAACGCGGGCCACGTGGTGGCTGAAGCTCTGCAAGCCCTGCTCCTTTGGAGGCGGTGAAGAGTGATCAAGACTTCTTTTGTACCTTTTTACGTTCCCCTTTTTTACGGTTTCACGTTAAAGCCAATACAGTATTGTCGAGCAATACGACGCGTGGTAATGTTGCATATTTTTTACTGAATACTTGATACTCTGAGGAAGCTGACTGAGGCGGATTCCGGCCGCGGTCCTCCCTGGGGAAGCTGGTGGGAAGAGGAGAGAGTCCTGGCTCCCTGGCCAGCAGGCCCCTGGGAGGTGACAGGTAAAGCCGGTTAGATGGCAGACGTCAGGGGGTGCGGCTGGGGCTGGAAATGGTTTTACTCTTGAGACAAACTGCTCCTTGGGGGTTGCCTCTGACATGCAATAGCTGGCTGCGCCCTTAAAGTTCCGCTTGGGGACTGGCTGGTCAGTCATTAGTATCCGCATCACAGTGTCGACCGGTCTCCCCTTCAAGGTGCATTGCCTTTCAGAGCCGAGATGAGGCGAGGCGGGCGGACTGAGTAGCAGAGCCCAGGAGAAATGTTTACCTGGAGCCTGGGCTTCCTTCCCCGACAGTTTCCGCTGCCAGATTTGTCATTGAGAAGCGCCGATGCCCATGTCGTAAACAGGCCCGAATTAATGGGTCCCATTAAGGAGCATCCAGGAATCAATGCGGGACAGTATTAAATCAATGGCGTAAATGAAGAAAAAGCCCCTTCGAGAAAACGTGTTAGCATGAATAAATGGCAGGAGGACTTTCAGGAGGCAAGGGCATTCACTTTCAGTCCTGCACAAAAGGAAAGATGCCTCGGCCTCCCTTCCTCCCAGCAGGGCTGCCCCTGGGCTGTCCCTGGGCCCTGGGGGGTTGGGGGGTTGGGGAGGGGATGGGGCGGCTGGGGAGGGTTCCAGCGTCTGGGACCTAGTCCGGAGGCGCGGCCTCCTTGTTGGGGATGAACCAAGCACCTTGTGTGTAGTGTATTTTGTATCTGTGTTTTGTTTCCTTTTACTGCCTGTTTATAACACTCACTTGACAATAGAGATGAACTGTATTTTAAATCATGCTGTTAAATATTTCCCTCTTTTGTTGGGAAGCTCATTTTAGTTTAACTGTGTTCGCTGTGGCTAGCTTACCTGGAAGGCAGTGACCACTTTTTTATATTCCCTTGATGAACCCATTCAGCAGGTGTACGCTGTTGAGGCTGATTATAGAGGTTTTCTATAATAAATGTTCAAGTATTTTTGTACATAACTGGTTAATTTTAATAAGAGATACCATTATGTGTAAGAAAAAATAAAAGCAAACAGTTGTGGATGCAGTATGAGTGTTATAATTATGCCAAATACTTTATGTATGGAAAAAGAATATTTGTACATACGTGCTTTTAACAATAATTCTGCCAGATTGACTTTCCAGTTTTTGAATGTCAGAAAAATTAATATATGTTAAAATATTTATGTTTAGTGAAGGTATTCATAATGGAGAAAAGGAACATATAAATTTTAGCTTTGTATCTTGCAAGTTTTGCAGTCGGAAATTTCTTGAACTAGCTTTTGCTTTTGATGATAACACTGTGTTTGTAATCATACCCTTAAAAAAAAAATATATATATATATATAAGAAGCTCTGTATTTCTGTTGCTTTAAAGAAGAAAACTTCTCCACTTAAGTAAGGTGACCTGCATAAGATAACAAAGCTTCTTTGATTTCCTTTTCCTCTGTAGTTTAACAGATTTGTTGACTAGTGCTCGGGCACAGTATAAATCAATGTTATTTGCTCTTGAAGCCATTTTTTTAAAAAATTGCAGTGAGCAGTGGATCCTGTGGGTGTGTGTCTGAAGCAGCTATATAGCAAACACTTCAAGAGATTCTCTTAGCTCAGATGTTCCTACTGGTTGCTGCTGAATGGTGAATATTAAATAAAATTACCTGATTAATCTTGATATTTCTGTCTTTCTTTCATCAGTATGAACAGAAGCTGTGTACATCTCTTGGTCGTAGCATAGTGAAAATTTCAGACTTCTTGGTTGGTAGATCCTGTCTTGTTGTTTTGCCTTGGTTGATACACTTCCTCTACCTACAACGCTTATTTATGCCGTAAGAACAGAGGTTGAGAAGGTAGCCGTGGAGGTTAATGTCAGGAGAGAAGGGAACATTTCCCAGGTGGCTGACCACTCATGGGACTAATCAGAACCATCCAAGTTTGTTTGCATTAGAAAACTTGACACAAAACAGATTAACTGCCCAACGTGGGAAACGGTTGAGAAACACTGCAAAACGCATTGACTACCCGACGTCTGTTCATAAATCCCGGCTTTCCGTTTTGTGAGCTGCTGTGCTGTTAGGTTTATGGCATGTACGGAACCCAACGCCAAGGAAGCCATTGTCTAACTCCGCTGTCCCATTTAAATACCAAAACCCATTTGCAGGCCGTCGTCAATATCCTCGATGTTTCTCCACATTCACTAAGTGGTTTTAGAGCATTCTGGGGTCACGTTCATTACAGCCGAGCTCATCGGCGTTTAGATTCTACAAGCATGATCACAATATGAACAGCCCTGCTTGCCATCTAGGTAGTGTTTTCTCTGGATTGTCATCGATTGCTCTCCAAACAAGAACAAAGGGAGTAGCAGGTTGCACAGGCCGGCCTTCATGCCAGCCTTCCACATTCTGTGGCTTGTACTAAAATGAATGCTTCGTGACTGATCGAGATCAACTTTGCCCTCATGACATAAGAAGGCCATAAAAAAGATGTGAAAAATGGACAGAAGGCCATTTCCCTCACATAACTATTATCATACTCCTTTAGTCTTTTTCTATACGTACGTATTGTGTAGCGCTAGCATGTCAAACTCGTGGCCCATGGGCTCTATGCGCCAATGAATATTTTTGCAGCACAGCCAATATAACGGTATGTAAGAAACGTCTTAATAAAAATTTCGTAACTTAATTTCTACAATATCCTGTTATGTGTAATTATTAATAACAAACTACAATGTTGGATAATCACTGATGACTATAATCATGTTGCAGTCATTTCCCTTACGCGCCTTAGGCGCAGGCTACCATTTCTCACCACTAATACTGGCAGCGAATATTTTAGCAGCCGATTGCCACGTCATTAGTCTTGGACTGACTTGTTTGGTGTGCGCAACAGGAAATACTTCGCTTTTGGAGAACAAGAAAAATAGGTTTATTTGTGTGACGCTTATTAATTTGTGCAGTTATTCGGTGTCTGGTAAGTTAATGTTCAAGAAAAAATATTAATTTTTATTTAAATGTTCTATTTAATGTTAACGATGACTCATTTATTTCAGCCCTTTGTATTCAGCATGTCTCTATCGAAATAAGCCTACATTTCTATGAAAATTGAACCTGTTGGTTTTTTGTGGCCCACATAAACTTAAAGCTTGTTTATTTGGCCCGTGGTAGCCCTTGAGTTTGACATGCTTGCTGTAGCGTTTCCACCTTGAGTGCTGGTTCCCTCGGGTATCAAACACGCTATGGTAACAGCTGCATTCAACGCCATCAGGTGAGAACCCTCAACTCAGGTTTGGCAGCATCTCTCAGGGCGGGAGGGCAGGACCAGATTTCATTGAAAAGTGGGGTTTTGTTGAAGGTGGGTCTTTAAATGAGCAGGCCTGGAGGTCGGGTAAGATCATGGGGTAGCTGTTCAGGTGGGTGGAAAGAGCAAAGCAAGGATTTTGAGTTCACAGGTTCAGAGCCTCAGGACATAAACTGTTCATTGATGCTTCCTCTCAGCGATTGGACGGGTCTGCTGAGAAGTTCCTGTGTGGACATCAAGATACTTGCCTGTCGAGATGCCTGGAAGAGGAAGGCCATGCAGACAAACACGGAGCAGTGGCGTCTGGCTCAAGGGGACAGGAGCTGCCTGGACCAGACGGTTCCAGTTCTCGACACGTACGTTGCTCGTGGCTGTAATCACGGTGTCCCTGGGCAGTCTACCCTCGTGTTTTGTCCACTGTTACAGTATTTACTATTACGACATGTCAGCAGAGAGCCAAGTCTATTCCACATTTCAGCCGGTCCCCTATTCATGGCCGTCTATTGCTTTCCGTTTCTCATGAGGACAAAGCGTACCTTGGTGACTGTTCTCACGCAAGCTTCCCCCATGTTTTGGTTTATTTCCTTAGAATGGACTCCGGACTAAAGTGGCAAAGGTGGAGGAATGATGACGTTTGCAGTCCTCTCGCATATTTACAAAGTTCTTCCCCAAAGTGTTGGACCCACTTTAGTGCCACCCGCAGGGTTTTGGCAAGTCCCCAAGAAACATGGAGTCTGAGTCTTAAGGCGCAAAAATACCAGCCTGGACCGAGCCCGGCCTCCGTCTGCAAGCGCGCCCTGTGCACCGGGCGTGTGGTGTCCGGGAAACGGACTCGGCTGGAGGCGTGGGCCCAGGGCTTACACTGGGGAACAGTGCTGCTCCCCAGGGAAACAGGCCGGGCAGAGGGAGCAGCTGAAAAGAGATGCTCTGGCCATAGAGCCTCAGCTGGTCCCACAGGGAACTTGGGGGCAGAGGTCAGGCGCTGAGGGTGGGCAGCTCTCGGGCTAAGGGCAATCCCTGCGGAAGGGTGAGGATTAGGGTTAGGAAGCCTGGCAGGCCACCCACCCATCAGCCGGGAAAATGCACACCCTGACCCGATGGGGCCCGTGTTGTGAGTCACCGCCACCATCACACCGTCCCCACGGCGGCCACGGCCCACAGAGCAGAGCGGGCCCTCGGAGCTGCAGAATTCTTTGATATGAAGCTACTTACTGATCAGACCAAAGGAAAGGGGCCTAGTTTTCTCCCTTTGGTTTGGAGCAAGAATGGAATTATTTTCTTTATTTTTAATTAATATTTTTTTATTGATTTCTGAGAGTAAGACAGAGGGAGAGATAGAAATATCAATGATGAGAGAGAATCATTGGTCGGCTGCCTCCTGCACACCCCACACCAGGGACCGAGCCCACAACTTGGGCATGTGCCCTGACCGGAATCAAACTGTGACCTCCTGGTTCACAGGTTGACACTCAACTACTGA